CTTCCATCCCTGTTGGGACTCACACCTAAAGTTCATTTATCTTTTTATTTTTTTAAAGATTTTATTTATTTATTTGACAGAGAGAGACAGTGAGAGAGGGAACACAGGCAGGCAGAGGGAGAGGGAGAAGCAGGCTTCCCGCCGAGCAGGGAGCCCGATGCAGGGCTCTATCCCAGGACCCTGGGACCATGACCTGACCCAAAGGGAGACGCTTAATGACTGAGCCACCTGGGCACCCCTAAAGTTCATTTATCTTAACAGTTGTGTGCTTTTCCATAATATGAATATACCACAGATTGTGAATCCATTTTGCTGTTGTTTTCAGTTTTTTTGCTCTCAAGAATAGTGCTAGAGTAAATGTTTTGTTCATGTCTTCTGATACACATGAGCAAAAGGTAAGAACAGCAGGAATCTGTGATCCTTTTTTTTTTTAAAGATGTATGTATTTTAAAGAGAGAGAGAGCGTACACGTAGAGGGAGGGCTGAGGAGAGGGAGAGAGAGACTCCTCAAGCAGACTCCCTGCTGAACTGAGCACGGAGCCTGACGTGGGGCTCAATCCCAGGGCCCTGAGATCATGATCTGAGCAGAAACCAAGAGTCAACCACTCAACCAACTGAGCCACCCAGGTGCCCCAGGAATCTGTGAACTTTTTGCCCAGAGCTACTCCCTGCCAGCCCTGACCTGAGAATGGCAGCAGAAACCAATTTTGCTGCTAGAGATGGTAGCCTCAATTTGGAATAGGAGCAGAGGGCTAAAGACCCTGGTTTCTACAATGTAAAGCATGGGTTTAGTTTAGAAAAAATGGGGAGAAACTCACAGCTTTGCAAGCCTGAGGCTGCAGTCCAAGTTTGGGTAAATGGTAGATGAGCAGCGTTTCACAGAAGAATCCTAGCAATTAGAGAGCCATGGAAGGTCTGAGATAGCTCTCCACATATCTCCGGCTGGCTGAGGAGCTACGCATGCATGAAGGAGACCTTGAGAAAGTCTTCCTGCACTAGCTTGACTTTTGAAAACGATGTTAAAAAGCAATACTCCTCATATTCTTGGATTTCAAGGACATGTTTTAAACTTTAATTATTAAATATAAAGTCTGTATTTTAGAAGCTTTTTAAAATATCAGAGACAAGTTTTATAAGGTTTTGTATTATTTTGTGGAAGGGTGAAGTTATTAACTTCATTGTTATCTACTATTGATTATGTATTTAAAATTCTCTAATTAATCACGAAAATGAAAGGAATAAAGAGTAAATATTTCAAACCATCAAGGAAATGAATTGCAACGGAAAAAAGAAACAACTCAAGCAGTAAAAAATGAAGGCAAGAAAAGTGGGAAAATGGAAATAGTAGATTCAGCTTTAATAATTTTTATCATGAATAGATACTGAATTTTCTGGAATGTTCTTTCTGTATCTCTTGAGATCTTAGATTTTTATCCTTTGATCCTTAATAAGGTAAGTTGCATTAACAGAATTTTTAAATGTAGAATCAAGGGGTGCCTGGGTGGCTCAGTCGTTAAGCGTCTGCCTTCGGCTCAGGTCATGATCTCAGGGTCCTGGGATCGAGCCCTGCATCAGGCTCCCTGCTCAGTGGGAGGCCTGCTTCTCCCTCTCCCACTCCCCCTGCTTGTGTTCCCTCTCTTGCTGTGTCTCTGTCAAATAAATAAAAATCTTAAAAAAAATGTAGAATCAAATTTGCATTTCTAGTGTAAACACAGTGTGATAGTCAATTCAGTCTGCAAACCCAGGACTCCAGCAAAGGTAAGCAGGTGCCCTCCAAAGAGATTCTATCTCCAAAGTTTCCTTATCTCTCTCAATTTCTGTTTGATCTTTATTTGGACAAGTTCTGAGGGTATCAGCTTTTCTTTCTTTCTTTCTTTCTTTCTTTCTTTCTTTCTTTCTTTCTTTCTTTCTTTTTCTTTCTTCTTTCTTTCTCTCTTTCTTTCTTTCTTTCTTTCTTTCTTTCTTTCTTTCTTTCTTTCT